CGATCTGCTGCAGCATGAAGCACGTCACCTTGTTGTGGTACTGAAGAAGACAGGAGGCAGCCAGGAGTTAAACACCAGTGGGAGTTAAACACCAGTGGGGTTAAACACCAGTGGGGTTAAACACCAGTGGGAGTTAAAGGCCAGATGAGTTAAACACCAGTGGTAGTTAAACGCCAGTGGGATTTAAATGCCAGTGGGAGTTAAACGCCAGTGGGAGTTAAACACAGTGGGGTTAAACACCATGGACTCACCGCCTGCTTGCACCAGGAGCAGCTGATGGCGACGATCTCTTTGCTATGGAATGAGAACTTCTGCTGGAAGCCCTGTGGGTGGACATTGGAGACCAGTTAGGGCCCGGCCCCCACAGTCTGACCCCCTCAGGGTCATGACTGACTAAATCATGCGCTCACCTTCCCACACTGTCGGCACTTCCCCGTCTGGCGCCTCCTGTGGACCCAGTGGTGTCGGACCACGTTGGACTGAAAAACAGGCGTCGGTGAGCTCCAGTCGCACAACAACACTCAGAGACACAATTCCTTCAGTGCACTGACCTCCCGGATGGCCCGACTCGCCGGCTCCCTGAAGGACGGCTTGCACCTGAAGTTAATCTGAACACATGGGAGACGGTGAGGCGGCGGCAGAGACACCAGGGTTAGGGTTAAGGGTTATGTTTAGGGGTTAGGTTTAGGGGTTGGGGACAAGGGCTGGGTTTAGGGTTAGGTGTTCAGGTTAGGTTTAGGTTTGGGGTTTAGGTTTAAGTGTTAGGTTTAGGGTCAGGGTTAAGGGTTAGGGGCCAGGGTTAGGGTCAAGGTTAGATGTTTGGGTTAGGTTTAGGGGTTAGGGTAAAGGGTTAGGTTTAGGGTTTAGGTTTACCTTCTCCAGCTGCTCCATACACATGACGTGCACCGATATCTTACAGCCTGCACATTTCTTCCTCGGCACAGACTTTTGCTGGAGAACAAAACCACAGATTCACCATAGCGACGCGTTGGACGGGTTAGGGTTAGGGTTAGGAACCACCTATGCCGGGACCAGATCCGACCCCTAGGACTCACCAGGGACTTGGCGATGCAGTACTGCTCCCCGACGTAGCAGAAGTCTCCAGAGACGCTGGCCTCGAACCAGATGTGGTCCCCATACTGGGCATTTTCCTGAAAGACAGTCAAAGATAAAAAAAAACAGAATAAAGTCCTGTTTCAAATTCTGATGCATCAGCTTTACTTTAAGGACATTTTTTTATGGTTTAGTGGAAAATTCATTTGAATTTAATTTTCAATTTTGCACTTTGAAATTCAACAATTGAAATTCAAATTGTTGAATAAAAAATTTTTAAACTGAAAATTAAAATAGTTGATTTGAAAATGTCAAAATTTAAACATTTTGTAAATTGAAACGTTTTTAATTAAAAATTCAAATAGTTGAGTTGAAAACTGTCTGAATGGACTGAAACATCTGGGCTGGTGTGAGGGGGTGCTGGACCCACCGTCCAGTCCACGGTGCCGTCCAGCTGCAGGTCGCTCTGGCCGGACGGGGCCTCGCCGGGTTGGCCGCCGGCTGGCTGCAGGCCCGACTTCGCTATGGCCTTCCTGAGAAAACACACAGC